TGTTTTTCATATAATTTTTGTTGACTATATTTGACAGTCATACCATTGCTACTGCTGTTGTCGCTGCCTTTCCTGTTGTGAATTTTCTTCTTTTTGCTGATGTTGTTCTGATTGCTTTGTGGTGAGAGCAGGCTGCTAGCCAATTGGTAGACATTAATCTACGTCAAAGTCTAGGTCACTAATATTGGCCATGAGAAAATATGAACAAGGCTGATTCAACAACCAATCACAGCAGATTTAACGTGGGCAAATATGATTCGCAGATACATGGCTCCACTTTCCGAGGAAACCCGAAACAACCAGTCAGAAGACTGCGTTTGTCTACTTGAATAAGCTATAATAATGTACATGAAATATATATAAATACGTGTTGATTTCCGTAATAAAACGATCTGTTGCTCGCCCATGTCTTCTGTTGTTACAGCTTTATTTCTTGTATTCCTGATTCTAAAGTGAGAAACTCAAAAAATCGCTCCTCTGTAACCTACATATATAGGTTAAGACTTCCGCCTCAGGCGTGAGGCTAGCAACCCCACCCTGTAAACAAAACTGCCACAGAAACTTCAGTACGATGAGTCTCCTTGCAACCAAAGAAAAAGTCTGTTTAGAGACATGGAACATCCGCACCATGTATGAGACTGACAAAGCTGCCCAGACTGCAAATGAGATGAAAGGATATGGTATTCAAGTACTGGGAATAAGTGAAAGCAGATGGAATGGGAGTGAACTCACAAAATTGTCAACGGGAGAGTCAGTGATCTACTCCAGTCACCCAGAAGACAACCACGAGCACACTGAGAGTATGGTTATCATGATGTCGCCAACGGAAATGAAGGCCCTGATACAATGGGAGGCAGTCTTGCCCAGGACAATAACCGCTAGATTCAACACAAAAGGAAGGGAAGTGTCAGTTATACAATGTTATGCGCCCACAAACAACGCAGACCTCGAAAAGAAAGAAGAGTTCTACAGACAACTACAGGCAACAACGGACATTACTCCAGGCGGTGACATTAAAATACTAGTGGGAGACATGAACGCCAAGCTGGGACCAGACAACACAGGAAGAGAACTCATTATGGGCAGAGAAGCTCTCGGAGAAATGAATGAAAACAGAGAACTCTTCGCTGACTTCCGCGCCTTTAACGAACTAGTGATTGATGGCAGCGTACACAAGCACAAGGATATCCACAAGGTTACATGGGTGTCACCAGACGGGCGAACCAAAATGACTCCATTTCAATGTTGCTCAAGGAAGCGGAGACGCAGCTTACTGGACACAAAAGTGGCAAGGGGAGCAGACGTTGTCTCAGAACACTATCTCGTGCAAGGAACCAAATCCAAAACTTCTAAGGAAGGAGGGGATGCAGATAGACTACAAGCCAAGTTCAATACCCGAAAACTGAAGGATCTGGTCACAAAGGACATCTTCACTGCAATCGTAAGGAAAAAGGCGGAGACACAAATTAACACTAGAGAAGAGACCAGCGTTGAAAAGCATTGGAACAACCTGAAAGCGGTGTGGAGTCAAAGCTGAAGGGGAATTCTAGGCAGAAAGAAAAGACAAGACAAACAGTGTCTCACCACAGACACATGGAGGCTGATAGAAGGATGTTAAAACAAAAGATTATCCGATGCATTGACGAGCAACAAAAACAGGAGCTGAACGCAAGCTGCAATACACTGCAGAAAAGTGCCAGGGAAAACAAAAGGCAATATTATGAAGCTATGGCAAGTGAAGCAGAACAAGCTGCAGACAAAGGAGACCTCGAAACACTCTACCGAACAGCTAGGTTCCTATAGGGGAAAAGTTCAACAGAAATTAAGCCAGTGAAGGATGACTATAAGAAGTCAATCACCAAAGAGGTGGAGTAAAGGAAACACTGGGCTGAACACTTCAAAAGACTTCTAAATCGACCGCCATCTACAACGCGCCCGATAATACCAACAACGCAAGTAGAACTATCAGTGGACATAAATCCTCCGACGAAAACAGAAATCCTGAAGGCCATAAAGATGCTAAAAATTGGAAAAGGAGCAGGACCAGACGGAATCTCAGCAGAAGCATTGAAAATGGCCCCAGAGACATCAGCGGACTTGATGAAACCACTACTGGAGAAGGTGTGGAAAGACAGCAAGGTACTTGCGGATTGAAAGAAAGGCTACTTACTCAAACTGCCAAAGAAAGGAGACTTAAGTCAATGCATAACTGGCGCGGAATTATGCTCCTGTCTATCCCAAGCAAAATACTAAGCCGCACCATCCTGGAGAGAATCAAAGGCGCCCTGGATGAAAAACTTTGATCGGAGCAGGCTGAATTCAGGAGGAAAAAGCCATGCATCGATCAAATCGCAACACTACGGATCATCGATATAAGTATAAAACTTGGGCAATGTGGAAGAGTATCCATATCTTGTCCATAATGGAACTACGGATTATCGTTGAACAGAGCTTGGAATGACAGTCAGTTCTCTATCTCAACTTCATCGACTTTGGAAACGCCTTCGACAGCGTCGATCGAGAGGTGATTTGGCAACTACTTCGCTACTACGGGGTGCCACCGTAAATTATACACTTCATCCAACAGTTGTACGACAATGCTGCATACAGAGTAATCCACAACGGCTGCCTACTATCTCCAATGATTTTCCTGACTGCATAATGCGACAGAGAGCGGGCAATGGGGAAACAGGCATAAAATGGACCCACACAAAAAACTTGGAGGATATGGACTTTGCCGATGATATACATCTGATTTCCCACAAATTGGAAGATATGCAAGTGAAAAGCAACAAGTTAGCAGAAGAAGCATCCAGAAAAGATAGAACTTCAGGTGAACACAGAGAGGCCAGAGGTGATGAAGATTCCTGACCACTACCAATAGCAACAACAGACAACAATCAGTCGGCATAAATGGGAGAAATCTGGAAGAAGAAACCTCCTTTACCTACCCACCTAACGACCTGGAAAGCATCGTTTCAACTACAGGCGGAACTGACAAGGATATTAAGGCAAGGATCGAGAGACCAAGGAGAGCTTTCATTTCTCTCAAGTCTGCGTGAAGATCAACAGCACTCAGCATGAAAAATAAAATTAGGATTTTCAACCCTATTGTGAAGGCAGCACTACTTACTATACGGATCACAAACTTGGCGCGTGACGAAAGGCACTTCGAACAAACTACAGACTTTCATCGACAGCTGTCTTCGCTCAAGATCAGATGGCCGGTCAGAAAAGATCAGCAACAGGTATCTCTGGCAATGAACGAACCAACCCAGCAGGAACCAACTGTGCAACAAATATGCAGGAAGAAATGGAGGTGGATTGGCCATACTCTGAGGAAACAAACCATCAAGTGAGTGACATCACACACCAGGTGATCATCATTCAAGTGGAACCCGAATGGGAAGCAGCGAGTTGGTCGTCAATGCGAGAATGACATGAAGGAGGAGATGAAAGCATGTGAACAGATGTGGAACCACGTGAAAACGTTGGTGGAGAACCGAACTCAATGGAGACGTGCGACTGAAGTCCTATGTGCCTGTAGAAATTAAGCGAAACAATAATAATAACAGAGTTCTAGGCTTTATAATCGTGCGTAGATTAAATAGTGTACATGAGAAAAAAAAACACGAGAAATCTAGGCAGAAGGTGTACTGATCATATCTTTACCCTTCGAAAGATTCTGAAACACATTAATACTTACGGACGCGCAATAATTGTCATATTTCTTTAACTAAAGGAGGAATTCTACTCCGTCGGCTGAGTTATTATGGCGATGTTCAGCAGTGAAGGGAGTGCCGAGAAAGTACATCGCACTAATCAAGACATTCTGCTAGAACTCATGCAGCCGAATACGGCTTATGATGAGTTGTGACAACCAATAGTATCCATCAGGGATGTCCACTGTCCTCATTCCTCCTTAATTTCACCGCAGATGTACTAAATAATTTTAGTGGTTTAGGGAGTGGCTTGTTACTAGGGGATAGTCTTGCTGACATCTTGAGGAGAAATCTTGGGATGTTCATACGCGATTCGCCCCTGTGATGCTGCGCCGATTCATAGCTTAAAAAGTGAAGTGAAGCGGTAAGGCATGTTGACAATTTCACTTATTTGGGAAGTTGCATCAGCCTCAATGGATTGACTACTGACGAAATCTCAACTCGGATACAAAAGGCTAATGTAGCATTTTCCAGCGTATATCATTTATGATGTGGATGTGTTACCGGGCTATGGATGAAATTAAATGTGTACTGCAAAACAGTTTTCCTTGTCCTCCTTTATGGCTGTGAGACATAGTCACTGATAATGGAAGAAACGAAAAGGCCAGATTTCTTTGACCATCTATGTTCGCGTTTTACCTCTAATATTAAACGGTATAATATGGTAAGTAATATTGAAGATAGGCGTAGTGTTTGGCAAACAAGTGAAGCTAGTCATGTAGGTTGTGAAACCACATAGATTGATAAGCATAGAATATGTGTTGCGCATGCCGAGGCACGGTCTTCCTCGACGGGCAATGTTAGCCGAAATATGACTAGGTTGAAAGAATTCTGGGTGGCCAAAACAAAACTTGGAACCAGTCTATGGAATCTTTCACTGTTGGTCTGAGTCCCCCATAGAGAGGTGCAAACTGCCCTCGAGTTGCTAAGATCTAATGGCTAGAGACTATTGGTGATATGGCTCAAAATCGTCCTCAACAGCTTTGATGCATTCATCTATATCCACCCTACCGTCATGTTTTTCCACGTTACACTATTCTTTATCCCTCACATTTCTACTTATTAAAGTTCCTTTAAATCTGTTTTTTGTGTTACATGCAGAGTGACAAATTGAACTGTTGCATTTCTGTACAACAATACTCTATGTTTAAACTCAGTCGGTTACAATTCTTGAATACAATGAATAATTTCGAGGTTTCAACATAGAAAAAAATCCCCATTTAGACATTTAGAAAAAGAGAAAGGCTGAGCGAAGAAATATTTACTTTTCAATTAGATCCTTATCTCTGGCTCTACTCTAATATATATAATTAAAAGGTGGAAATGGTTACAACACGTGGATTGCATAATGCATAATTTTGGAAAAATGAAGACCAATTAAGGAATAAGCGTCTGCACAGGTTGATTACGTAACAGATTGTTAAAGAAAATAAAACAACTTGGACAACGACAATTTGTAACTAAAGTTGAAGTGGTCATAAGAATAAAATAATTTTTACAAGGATAACACGTAATTAAAGATGAAGTAGTCAGAAAAATAAAATAATTTGGACAATTATAGTTGTTTTTTTAATTTTTTTTAGGGGGAGGGGGATGAAGTAGTCCGGTTTATACAGTCATGTAACGATGGCCAAGGTAAGGAAAGTGGCTGTACAAATTTCTTCTGGACACACAAGTTTGGCTTCTTCAGGTGGATTCCTATTGCTTCAGCTGTATGTAGAAGACGAACTCGTAAAGCAAAATTAAGATTAGTAGGAATGCGATAAATAATTTTAAATGCAGTATTAACGTCAACCTTATGCTCACTATCTACAAGGTGGGCTAAAATAGAGCTACGAATAGATCTTGTTTGTCCCTTGCTTAACCATGCCGGATGATGTTCGGAAATACGATGATGAACCTGCCTAATTGTTCGCCCGATGTAGCTGGCTCCGCAGCTGCAGTCAAACTGGTAGATACACATAGAAGAGGCGAATTTAGGTAGTTTATCCTTATTACTCGAACGTAGGATAGGTGTGGTTGTGAAGAGACAGCGTACCTCTGCTGCATAATAAGCTCTTTTAACTGCATTCTTCAGTCGTTATGTTATTATTTCGCTGATGTTGTCACCGAGGAACTGAAGTTTTATGAACAGTGGTTTTTTCGGAACTGTTGCCATAGTGACTGTCCTAGGTGATGAATTCATATTTTTCTCAATAAACTTATCTGGATAACCATTTTTTCTAAGTAATTCTCTAATAATCTTAGGCTCCTCATTGAAGCAGTCGTCTGAACAGATTAACCTAGCTCTATGAACCAGACACTTTACCAGGTTACGTTTATATTTCAAAGGTACAAAACTCAAAAAATGAGTGTACTGACCTGTTGTAGTAGGTTTCCTGTACACACTCCTTCTTAGTGTGCCATCTTCTTTCCTTGCCATGAAGACGTCTAGGAATGAGATACTGTCATTACTTTCTCTATGGTAAAGTTTATTGCTGAATGGGCATCATTAAACTTGTCAAGGATGTTCATTGCACCATCCTTTTTTATGACCAGAAATGTATCATCCATATATCGACAGTAGAAATCCAAGTTACTCCTTTCAGTGGTCCATTCTCTAACTTAGCGAGGAAAAAATCAGCTAGGATTGGGCCTAATGGGGAACCCATAGCTACACCATCAATTTGTCTGTAATATTCCTTATTGAATAAGAAATGAACATTCATTGTACATCTTAAAATAAGTTCCTTCAAGGTGGATACAGAAATGCCGATGTCTATGTTTCGTGTAGTAATCTCCTCACATATAAAATCCACTGTCTCCATTAACGGTACATTGGTGAACAAGGAGGATACATCAAAAGATATCATAAACTTGTCCCTCACATTAAGATCTCTTATTTTTCCAACAAATTCAAAACTGCCATTTACGCTATGCTTTACCAACTCATTATGCAGAGGTTTCAGGAGCTTGACTAACCATGGCATGATATGGGGAATTACACATGTCTAACACTGGTCGAAGTGGCAAACCAATTTTGTGCACTTTTGGAAGTCCATATAATCTTGGTGTAATCGTGCCGGTAGGCTTTAGAGATTCATATAAACCTTTTATGATGCTACTTTGTTGTTTAAGTCTTTTTAGTGACTCAATCAGTTGTTTCTCCACTTTTTCTGTTGGATCGACGGAAGATGAAATCCTGAAACCAATCAAATCCCTACAAACCATCACTTGAATACCAATGAGATGCTCACTGAGAACTGGCCCTATTCAGGTAGGTAGTTACCTGGGTTCCAGTGGGAAGTCGTGACCAGTAGGGTGCAGAAGGTCGGGTGTGAGGACAAATACTCACCGAAGTCATTGGCTAGTGGTCGCGCTATGTCGTGAATTGGCAGAAGTTAGAATTCATGGGTTGGCCGTTGGATCGGGTCTCAGTGGCTTAATGGTATGCGAGCTAGCTCGCCTTGTAACCGGAAGATCCTGGGTTCGAATCCCAGTGGGTGCGTACTGCTGAAGAGTCCCAAACTAGGACGAAACAGCTGTCCAGTACTCCCAGGTTTTCCAATGGTTCTCTAACTAATGTCAGCTCATGATGAAATCCTGGAAGATGTGATTTTTTGAAATTTTCGATAATCACTGAGTTCTCCATCCATCTTATCTATGTATTCACTATTACTACTCTAGAGCCTTTATCAGGTTTCGAAATTATTACACTCTCATTATTTCGCAGCTTATCTAGGGCTTCCCTGTGTTTCTTGGTCAATAGGCTATTCAGTCTCCGTTTACTATTTATATATTTATAACAACATTCGACGAGAGTTGATTTAAGGCTTTCAACTGCCGCAGCTGTCAAGCCAACAGTTTGTGCATAAAAGTTTTCAAACTGGACTTGCATATCCATCTTATTAATTTTAACATGGTTATCACAAATCTTAGCGCCTAGGGATAATACTTGTAAATCAGTGTCATCAAGAACAACATCAGAAAAATTATAAACATACCGACCAGGGTTTGGCGGAAATCCCATTTCTGGAGTTTTGCTTCCCAGGCTTTGTAATAATTTGGTACGTTTCTTTTCTCTTCTTTTGCCAGAAACCTCATTCACATAATCCAGGAACTGTTTCTTCAAGTGCTCTGGGAGCTCGTCTACAGCATAAAACCTTTCTGTTACATTCTTTGATAATTCCGTGATACATGATTTGAGTGAGTCAATCTGATTCAATGCGTGACGCTTGAGTGTCTTACTATTCGGGCGAACTCTGCTACGTCGTAAAGACTTCCATCAATAGGACTTTGGATACTGGTTTCTCTCAATGCATTCGAGAATCAAGTTCAAAGAAATTCTCGCTTCACTGAGCCTTGGGCTGTATTTCAGATACTCATTGAGCACCTTTAACGCAAGCTGTTGCTCCGAAGATTTCAATATAGAAAAAATCCTCATTTAGACATTTAGAAAAAGAGAAAGATTGAGCAAAGAAATATTTACTTTTCAATTATTATTAACAAACATATCACCACTTGATTGGTAAATTTTTGTGTACTGTAATAAAAGTGCTATATATATTAGAGTAGAGCCAGAGATGAGGATCTAATTGAAAAGTAAATATTTCTTCACTCAATCTTTCCCTTTTCTAAATTTCGAGGTTATTTCTCTTGCTGTCAGTGATTTCGAATTGAAGGAATTATATTGCTCAGTCGAGATTTGAAATACTTACCCCCATAAATGTGGATGCTATTTTTTAGATTAGTTTTATTCTCAAGATTTTTTGTCAAGACTCACTCATGTGAGGTGATTTTCATAATTTCTCACAAAAAAACTTCCGAAATTTCATCATACTACTATTTACCTTATAAGTAGTGTAATAGAGAACGACAGAAATAATGGCAAGTGTCAGGATTCAAAATCATACCCTGAAGTTGCCTAGAGCGAGAGGGAACGCTTCGCATGCGGATCATCCACCTCAAAGAACGAAAAACAATACACACGCAATGATATTTCAGCATTAAGATAAGTGAATGATTACCTTAACAAAACAGTAAGATAACGTAATTTATCTGAATAGTTTTTTTGGAGGAATTCATAACGGAAACAAATTGCTTCAAATATTTAGTCATCATAGAGTGGTCACTGTTGTGTTGGCAATGTTTGAAGTGTGACTACAAAATTAGGTTACGATGGATTCTGATTCATACACGACGGCTGACATGAAGTGACAGGAAATTATACTTCACTTATCTTTTGCATACGTTGGCATTTTTCAACACACTAATTGTAAAACAATATGACCCCATATGGTGTGAGTCGATGGTCTAGAGGTAGGGTGCTGACCAAACAACCTTGCACGTGGCACGGAGTTTGAGTCCTCGCCGAAGCAAACCTTTACCCCCTCTAGTCCTTTATAATCTCGACAAAGAGGGAATGTTGGGTATGAAGCTAGTAACCCTTCCCGGTGAAAAACACCACTGCTACTGAAACTTCAAAGTTTAAGCTGGAAGCCCTACATTCTATTGGGAACGCAAAGGAAGGAATAAGAGAAATAACCGTATATAAAGTTCACACTATAACAAGTACATAAAGTGGGTGTTAATTAGCTAAATGCATCATGATCAACGCTTCTTAAGACTGAACCATAGGAAGAATAAAACATAACCACTAAAATCATCGTGGTGGATAAATTAATTCTTCTGTATTACCTAACCAGTGTAATCACTTCATATTTATCAAAAACAGAGTGCAAATCATACAGGTAATTATAATTACATTGAAGAAATCTACTGCAAATGGTATTACCACATACTTACCAGAATAATAAAAGGGCTAGACCATTCGAAACACTTCAGACGGTACACCTCCACGTTGGTTATCACAGTCTAGTCAAAGCTATGAAGGTCCTGTAAACTAAGTCAAGGTAAGACGCCAGAAGTCCTTAGGAATGTTGGTAAGGAATTAATAGCCAGTTCAACTAAGGTGTCACTTAGCGACAGGGGATTTGATGGAATGGGATAAATCATCCCTTGATAAACACAAGTAGATTGGTTTGAAAAATATACATTCTAAAACGTTGCCGTTCATAGATGCGCAAAGAGTAAACACTTTGGAATTACATATTTGAGAGAAACAAACAGATCTTTAGGCTTAGACGGTGGTGAACTACTTATGTCACTATCTCTCAACAGATTATTCAGAACAGATATAATGTAAACATCTAACATTTGCAATACATCTTGAACAGTCGATTGATAAGTATTGCGACAAGATCTAACCGTAAACGGAGTAGCTACAATGTGCAATGACGACTGAGACACTTTATCCACACTCTTTCAGCTACATACGAACTTTTAGAGGATTTTAGCCTGAACTGTCTACCCGAAATGAGTATATATATGTATAATATATTACAGGTATATATTTTGAAATGAACTTTTCTGATAAATCGACGTACTAGAGATGAGATATTCGATCGACAGAATACGCGTAAACTGTACAGTAATCTGTGAATGAAAACGACAATGAGTGACAAGCTGCAAAATGTTTCATCCACATTGAGTAAACATTTGAACATGATTCCACCTAGCTTAAAGATGGGGTGCAGTCGTAGAACATAATGAATGATTACTGACAACTTCGATATTCAACAATCAACGATCTTGAGTGGCAAATACAGTTACTAGTGGGGAGATAATCTGGGCAGCAGTTTGCTTCACCCTACCCGATTGGTGCGAGGCAAAACCACTGAAATTGAGGCGTTTTTACAACTGTGGCCTTTGGTTATTTATTTAAAAACTTTTAACTATATACTCAATGAATAATATAAGATATCGTTTGTGAAAACCAGATCACTACAGCTTCTCGATTTTTTTCAAATGGTGATGTTCTACGCGTCGTCGATACACTTATGGTATAAAAACGAATCAACCACTCATTAGGAGTAGCTAAATGCCTGAGACTAAATATTCAGATCATTTTTTAATCCATCGGCAAACAGGCTAAGTCAGTACACAGGGAATTCTACAGTCACTCTTATGAGTAATAAACTGCGAACCACTCGCGTGTTCAAACCAAGAATGTACCATTTCTCATATGAAACTCCTCAAAAGAGCAAAATCAAGACATACCAGTTGGCTTAATTAGAATTAGTAGAACAATAAATAATCATATATACATTGATGTATTTATATACACTCATCATTCTACTCAAAGAATAATCGCATACGAAGATTAACCTAAGCTCTGACGCTTTGATGAGTACAATCATGTCAGCAATACAAATAATTATGAAAGCACACCATGAGTAAAACATGAAATATCAGCAGGAAATTTACAGTGTTCTGGAAGTACCATTACCTAAAATACTAAAATTATGGACACTTCATCAGTGAAAATTCAACAGTAGCTTCTTCGACTGTATTTCCTGAACATGGAACAATTTCTTCTTTTTTATCGGATAAGTGTTCAGCAAATCCGTCAGTTTCCTTGATATTTTCGGTACTTGACTGGGCGCGCATGTGCACCTCATTTCGGAATACTGAAGCATGATTGTTGAGTAAGATCAGACTTCGTTCAATCATTGCCTTGCTCCTCTTCCTCTCGACCTTTGAAATAGTCCGTCTACGACCACGAGCACGTTTCCCAGCCATGGCCTTCTACTTGGATGGTGAGGCATGACCTAGACAATTTTCCAATATTCAATGTCGTTTTTACGAGCTAATGTAAACCAGTTAGATTTCTTTCTTGCTTCTTGATTGTGAGGTAAAGGTTCCCAGTCGTCAGCAAACTTTTGAGTAGTTCGCCCCGCCACTCGACTGTCGTAGCTTTGGTTGACTCCAAAAGGAGTGGTACTGGGAATAATTAAATGCTGTTTGTAGTATGCAGCGTGTTAATGGAGTTGATCCATCCACCAACTAGTCCCTCAGTGTCGTCGTCAAAAGAAGATATAATAATTATAACAGATATAATAAGTGTAGGTTCTTCAGACTAAAAGACAGAAAAAGAAATAATGAAAACGGAAAGACAGAGTTAATTAAATTTGAATTTGATGTATACTTATAATGCCAATAATAATAAGTGTAAGTAGTCGAGAGAGTATGATGGGAGGGAACCTAAAGAAGTAAAACGATGAATTTAAATGTCTACCCATTGATAGTGTGTGGGAATTTAAGGGGACAGGTCATTTAAATACAGTCCTTGTGCCGCTGCATGACTGCCCAACCTTCGTTTAAAGCTATCCACAGACGGCGCCTTAGCTATATACTCCGGTAAGGAGTTCCAGGGACAGCAGACCAGCAGAGACCACATTCGAGTTTTTGCCATCTGGTGAGCTATCCCTCCGGGATTTCCACGAGGAAGCCCATACTGAATGGCAGAACAGCTTTGTTTCAGTCACTCTAGCCATTCGTTATCTTATAGGCAGTAATCAAGTCCACCCTAACCCGGTGGTAGCTAAGTATGAAGAGACCTAATTTCTGTAACTGTTTATAATGCGGTTTCATTCGGAGACCCATGACGCCTTTTGTCGCTTAATCTTTGAACTCTTTCCAAGGGGTTTGCATTTCTTCAGTGCTGTGGGGGCGCAACGATATTATGCACTTCAAGTAGCGACCTGACATATGATTCGTATAACTTCAAGAAGAGCTAAGGAGTGAGTGCACCCAACTGTCCATGTGTAAAGTGCATAACGCATATACCCTCGCCACATTTCCAGTGTATTTCACGCTTGTGTCGATTTTTCCATTACTTTCCAAAGTTGTACAGGACGAGCTTTCGTTGCACAGGGTGTAACTTGCATCCTACAGCTTACAAGTGAGAGAAATCACTGCTTCGCACTTTTCAGGTTGAAAGTCACACCACTGACCACCGTCCAGTCTTCCAGAAGCTTTAGGTCTGCCTGCAGACTGTCTGAGTCTTCCGAGCACTTTATTGCTCGCCATATCTCTATGTCGTCGGTGCAAGGAAGGGTCGGGCAGCTTAGACGGCATGGTAGATCATTGACGAAAATTAAAAACATCAGTGGCCCTAGGAGATAGCACTGCGACCCTCCTGATGACGAGCTGCGGCGACATTTTGCGTCGGCAGCATAGTGGTTAGGACTCTCGTCGACCACGAACATGGCCCGGGGTTCGATCTCCTGCCGACGCACATCCGGTATCACTAGTCGGCCTGCAAAATTTGGGCCACCGATATCACATGTTGAAAATTCCTTACATCTACTAAAGAAAGGGTGAGGAATCAAGCTTCGATCAAAAATAAAAATGATTGGACTCGGACGACCTTGGCGCAAGATTTCCTTTTAGCTGGGTAGTCATTCACCCATGGCAGAAGCGGCTCACCTACACCCGTCTGACTTATTTCGTTTAGGAGGTCATGGTGAACTGTGTTAAATGCCTTCTCGAAGTCTAGGAAGGCCACATGGATTGGAACATTCATGTCCCAACATGACATGCAGTCGTCCCATTTGATAGCTTTGTTACACGGGATCTGCCTTTCCTGAAACCATTTTGTGCTTCATGGAGTCTACTGGTCCTATCGAGGTACTCCCTGATGTTACCATCAATTTCCAGTACTTTTGATGCCAGTGGAATTAGCGTCACCTCTCCGTAAGTGGTGGCATTTTTCATGTCCTCACCAGTGAAAATCAGATAAATGATGGCTCAATCCCGCTCCCTTGGCAGTTTCCCTGAGTTCATCAAGTGTTGGAATAAGTCGCATAAGGGCCTGCAGAGAGCTGCAGAGCAGATAGCCTAGTGTTTTCATAACCTGGAGACTTTCCAGACGAGTCTCTGTGGCTTCCCTTAGTACTAGTATCGGGTTTATTTGGAAAGTGGCCACCACGTTTTTCTCTGGAGAAGTAGTAGTGCCTCCACTTCGGTACGTACCAGTAATACCCATACTGCTGTTTAGCTGTTTGGTGAAGGATAGACTGAATGTTTCAGCCCCTTCTAAACTAGTGAGATATTAATGTTTGGACCTTCTAACGAGAATGATTGATTGGTTTTCCCTCCGACATGAATAGGTACAGGCTTTTAGGGTTCGCCAGCAGTTTCTTGGCAAGGTTAACCTGAAGTGGACTACTGTCACTCCTGACTCTGATGTTGCGCTGGTTCCTGGGTTCCATGTATGCATCGTGGTTGGTCTGACTCTTGGTCACTCGCCACTTAGACCAAGCCTGTCGTTTTGCTTTCAGAGTACGTTGCGTATCTCTCTCCAGCCCTGGGGGGCCTTTCCTTCGGTTGTGATGTGACTAAAGGGACGGTATTTGGGACTGCTGTGTGAATAATCTCTTTTGCCACTTCTCAGTGTTCATCCACAGATAACTGAGTCCATTCAGTGTGAAGTCATGATCTGGACATTTTCGACAAGTGGTTGGTCACTTACCAGAATATAATCCAGCTTCGATTACTTTCCACCTATTGTCGTCTACAACATCCTCAGCCAGTCCTGTATTTCTGATGGCTTGTAGTAGATTCTGACTGAACTTTCTCTGGGCATGACCCTAGCTGAGGTTCAGGGATGGGACACTGAAATCTCCGGCTATGGTGATTTGGCGAAATAATACGGTGAAATGACGCTATATGGAGTCTAGGAGTTCATTAATTGGTGGGTCCGTTGCACGTACGCATTTCAGTTGCTTGTCAAAGTACATAGCAACTCACCCCTTCCTTTTTATCCCCGTCTCGCTTGACCAGAACCATATCGCTTATACTAATTTCGTTATCGCCGATAGTGAGCGTTAACCAGGTTTCAGTTAGGATGATTATTTTGAGCTGTACATGTGACTGGAGGTTTCTGATTTCTTCCACTTTCTCTCTGATCCATCTCACATTGCTATACATATAACTGAAAGTAAGCCTTACAACCTCAGCGAGTTGCGGGGTAGTTGGCGTTACGTTGTTAGCTGTAGAGGACTTAATATTGGGGCTAGCCGGCCTACTTCGGTGAAACTGGCCTGCTGTAGTTCCTGCTTGGATCGAGGACACTTGGGTGACACTGGCTGCACTGCTGTAGTGTCACTGAAGCTTGAAGTCGTTTAAAGGCCTCAGTCTCCTGCTTACTTGTGTTTCGAGGTCTGCTTTCGCGACATCGGATTTGTCCACTAAATTTACTATCGGTCTCGTACCATTATTAAGGTACTACGCCTGACTGTTGCAGGGAGTTGAATTTTATGTTTAGCGGACATTTTGGAGCTAATCAGTACGAGATGAGTGAGGCAAGGTAACTGGAAACTCGAGGCTGCTCCAGAAGCAACAAGGGCCATCTGAGATGATAGCAATCCCCATTGTTGCTTGTTTCGCATGTGTTTTTCGCAAGCAGTGACAGTTTCCAGCTCCGGAACACTGTGTTCGATAATGGAGGTAAAGGGCGTTAGTTCTGGTGACTCCCTCGTCATTCGTATGTTAGCCCATGACCTATTGTGTCTCACCCTCATGCCGGAAATCCTTTCAACTGTTGATACTTGAGCCAGTAACAGTATTCTTTCAGCCTCTTCGGCAGAGCCGAGGGTCACTGTTAATGGAGGCAACTTACCTTGATGTGGCTGAACATCCCCGTACAGCCTGCACAGTTTTGCTTAATGGAAGTTCAGACCTAATTAATCGCACAAACTGGACCACTGCTGGTGATCAAACACAGCCGTTTGTTCAGGCAAACTATTATCTCACAAGGGTACATTAAATAGGATAAGGGAATTCGATCGACTGATCTCAAACTTAGGTTTGGTCTTTGGCTTCTTGTTCTTCTCTGTCAGTCTATCTAGATTTTATCAGGTTCTGACTAGTCTTTGCTATGTTTCAATGCCTGTTAGCAGAGATAAGTGGTGCTTTGACAATTCTGTCTACCCCTGTTGTTCTGGGTGTAACCTTGGGAGTTTTCGGTTCATGAAGATTGACATTTCCAGTCAGTTAGGCTGTACTATCCTTCCTATGGTTTTTATCAAGTTTTGGTGGAGTGGTGTTTCCAGGTGGAGCGCTACATGAGACTATCGAGACGGATTAGTGGTGTGTTGTTTCCGTTATCCAGAGACACGCTGGGGATATAGAAACAATGCGGTTTTGGATTTGGTTCAGTTGTTAGATTTGCGCCACGAACCAACATCAGTTAGAGGAATCATTGAAAACTAGGGAACACTGGGAAGTTGCCTCGTTCTCTTCTGACGGTTTACATCAGTTCTCGCCCATGGCGCCATTTTATGCCAGTCACCAGACAATAATCTGAAACAAAGAGCAAGTCGCGCCTAGAAGGGCGGTTAAACAAGTGCTAAAGGCTGGTAAGAAAGGGGACTCAACGTCACGGTCTGCATTCGCAATCAGTACAATTACAAATGGATAAGGGACGAAGAACATTCTTGTTAACCGCCATTTGCGTCGTCTTGGGGCATCAATCCACGTACTTTATGGAGCCAACCTGAACTGAAACAAGCATACAGATCTGCCTAACTCTACACCCCGCTTTCTCCCGTAAGGTTACCGTTTGCATAGCCAGGTGACTGTGCCTCCAGAAGTCGTTTGAACTGTGGCTTGCTGCCAGAACAGTTTCCGACTATTGAAATATGTTGCTGCAGTCAGAATTGGGCCTAAAGTTAGAGCTCAAATGACGAACTAGTACGGAGTAATAAGTCTAGAAAACGCCTTGACCAATTAATATC